TTATACAGAGTGCGTGAATTGGCAAAGCAAAATCTTGAAAAAGCACATGAAAAGATGAAAAATTGGTTTTAGCCCTGGTGACAACGTTGGTGGTATTGCCAGTGTCTGGTGGGTCAATGCAAGCTTGTTATAGTGGCCATTATAAGATCAAAAAGAAATTGTCAGATTGAGATTACGTCATCCATACACTCGATCATTGCAAACGTTTGAGAGTTTGTGATTAAACCCTATTATGAGAGAAAGTCAGATACTGGAAAAGTTGAAAACATTGTACACATACTTGTTCAAAAGTTTCTATTTGTGGTTGTGTTTGCATCTGAACCAGTCGAGGATACAGATGCAGAAATTCAATGTTGGAAAAAGTCATTTCTGGGAGATACAGAGTTGATTTGCAGGAGGTTGCGAGAGAGTGGGTGCCTGAAAAGTGGGGTCGTGTGGCATGGGGGTGAGTGAGTTCAGAGCGACATACCTGAAGAGCAGTGGGGGTGAGTTGCGCATGACATACCTGAAGAGCGGTTGGGGTGAGTTGCGCACAACATACCCGAAGAGCAGTGGGGGTGAGTTGCAGATGACATACCTGAAGAGCGGTGGGGGTGAGTTGCGCAAAACATACCCGAAGAGCGGTGGGGGTGAGTTGTGCACGACATACCTGAAGAGCGGTTGGGGTGAGTTGCACACGACATACCTGAAGAGCGGTTGGGGTGAGTTGCGCACGACATACCTGAAGAGCGGTGGGGGTGAGTTGCGCACGACATACCTAAAGAGCGGTGGGGCTGAGTTGTGCACGACATACCTGAAGAGCGGTGGGGGTGTGTTGCGCATGACATATCTGAAGAGCGGTGGGGGTGAGTTGCGCACAACATACCTGAAAAGCGGTGGGGGTGTGTTGCGCACGACATACCTGAAGAGCGGTGGGGGTGAGTTGCGCACGACATACCTAAAGAGCGGTGGGGCTGAGTTGTGCACGACATACCTGAAGAGCGGTTGGGGTGAGTTGCGCACGACATACCTGAAGAGCGGTGGGGGTGAGTTGTGCACAACATACCTGAAGAGCGGTGGGGGTGTGTTGCGCACGACATACCTGAAGAGTGGTGGGGGTGAGTTGTGCACAACATACCTGAAGAGTGGTGGGGGTGAGTTGCGCACAACATACCTGAAGAGCGGTGGGGGTGAGTTGCGCACGACATACCTGAAGAGTGGTGGGGGTTAGTTGTGCACGACATACCTGAAGAGCGGTGGGGGTGAGTTGTGCACGACATACCTGAAGAGCGGTGGGGGTGAGTTGTGCACGACATACCTGAAAAGCGCTGAGGGTGAGTTGCGCACGACATACCTGAAGAGCAGCGGGGGTGTGTTGCGCACGACATACCTGAAGAGCTGTTGGGGTGAGTTGCGCACGACATACCTGAAGAGCGGTGGGGGTGAGTTGTGCACGACATACCTGAAGAGCGGTGGGGGTGAGTTGTGCACGACATACCTGAAGAGCGGTGGGGGTGTGTTGCGCATGACATATCTGAAGATCGGTGGGGGTGAGTTGCGCACAACATACCTGAAGAGCGGTGGGGGTGTGTTGCGCACAACATACCTGAAGAGCGGTGGGGGTGTGTTGCGCATGACATATCTGAAGAGCGGTGGGGGTGAGTTGCGCACAACATACCTGAAGAGCGGTGGGGGTGTGTTGCGCATGACATATCTGAAGAGCGGTTGGGGTGAGTTGCGCACAACATACCTGAAGAGCGGTAGGGGTGTGTTGCGCACAACATAACTGAAGAGCGGTGGGGGTGTGTTGCGCATGACATATCTGAAGAGCGGTGGGGGTGAGTTGCGCACAACATACCTGAAGAGCGGTGGGGGTATGTTGCGCATGACATATCTGAAGAGCGGTTGGGGTGAGTTGCGCACAACATACCTGAAGAGCGGTTGGGGTGAGTTGCGCACAACATACCTGAAGAGCGGTGGGGGTGTGTTGCGCACAACATACCTGAAGATCGGTGGGGGTGAGTTGCGCACAACATACCTGAAGAGCGGTGGGGGTGTGTTGCGCACAACATACCTGAAGAGCGGTGGGGGTGAGTTGCGCAAAACATACCCGAAGAGCGGTGGGGGTGTGTTGCGCACAACATACCTGAAGAGCGGTGGGGGTGTGTTGCGCACGACATACCTGAAAGCGGTTGGGGTGAGTTGCGCACGACATACCTGAAAAGTGGTTGGGGTGAGTTGCGCACGACATACCTGAAGAGCGGTGGGGGTGTGTTGCGCACGACATACCTGAAGAGCGGTGGGGGTTAGTTGTGCACGACATACCTGAAGAGCGGTTGGGGTGAGTTGTGCACGACATACCTGAAGAGCGGTGGGGGTGAGTTGTGCACGACATACCTGAAAAGCGCTGAGGGTGAGTTGCGCACAACATACCTAAAGTGCGGTGGAGGTGAATTGCGCACGACATACCTGAAGAGCGGTGGGGGTGAGTTGTGCACGACATACCTGAAGAGCGGTGGAGGTGAGTTGTGCACGACATACCTGAAGAGCGGTGGGGGTGTGTTGCGCATGACATACCTGAAGAGCGGTGGGGGTGAGTTGTGCACAACATACCTGAAGAGCGGTGGGGGTGTGTTGCACACGACATACCTGAAGAGCGGTGGGGGTGAGTTGTGCACAACATACCTGAAGAGCAGCGGGGGTGAGTTGCGCACGACATACCTGAAGAGCTGTTGGGGTGAGTTGCGCACGACATACCTGAAGAGCGGTGGGGGTGAGTTGTGCACGACATACCTAAAGAAAGCGGTGGGGGTGTGTTGCGCATGACATATCTGAAGAGCGGTGGGGGTGAGTTGCGCACAACATACCTGAAGAGCGGTGGGGGTGTGTTGCGCATGACATACCTGAAGAGCGGTTGGGTTGAGTTGCGCACGACATACCTGAAGAGCGGTGGGGGTGAGTTGTGCACGACATACCTAAAGAAAGCGGTGGGGGTGTGTTGCGCACAACATATCTGAAGAGCGGTGGGGGTGAGTTGTGCACGACATACCTAAAGAAAGCGGTGGGGGTGTGTTGCGCACAACATATCTGAAGAGCGGTGGGGGCGAGTTGCGCACAACATACCTGAAGAGCGGTGGGGGTGTGTTGCGCATGACATACCTGAAGAGCGGTTGGGGTGAGTTGCGTACAACATACCTGAAGAGCGGTGGGGGTGTGTTGCGCACGACATACCTGAAGAGCGGTGGGGGTGAGTTGCGCACGACATACCTGAAGAGCGGTGGGGGTGAGTTGCGCACAACATACCTGAAGAGCTGGAAGGGCTGTGGCGGAGAGGGGTGTGCGACTTAAAGACCGGGCGGGAGACGCACAATTTCCAGGAGATTATCATTCATTTGCGGGGCATCCAGGAGTCTCTATGCATTTGCGGGATTTAAGGTAGGTTGTAAAATTCTAAGATACTCACAAATTTGACTAGCCAGTTACCACACTTGTCTCAAACTGAGAAAGCAGAAGTAATTGGCTTAGTTAGAACTTTACCGATGTTGTTCAGTGACAATCCTGGTTTATCCTCAGTTATTGAGCATGATATTGATGTCAGTTTTACTCAGCCGATAAAGCAACATCCATTCTCGTGTTAATCCACTTAAAATGTCATTTCTGCAAAAAAAAGTTGAGTACATGATGGAAAATCACATAGCTGAGTCCAGTACTAGTCCATGGAGTTCACCATGTTTGCTGGTAGAAAAATCTAATGGCACATTTAAATTTTTATTACGGATTATTTTTGTGTAAATGCCATAACTAAAAGTTATTGCTATCCTTTGCCAAGAATAGATGATTGTGTGGATTGTGTAGGTACTGCTATAAATGTTTTGAAACTAGATCTATTAAAGAGAAACTGGCAGGTGCCATTAACTGAACATGCAAGAGAAATATAAGCATTTGTCACCCCAGATGCTTTTCTCAATTATAGAATAATGGAATTCGGCATGAAAAAACAGTCCAAGCACTTTCAAACAACTTAATAACACCGTGTTGGCTGGTGTGCCGAATTGTGAAGTGTACCTGGATGATGTAGTGTTATATAATTCCACATGGCGAGAGCACATGAGTTTACTTTGAGTCGTTAATCGATTGGCAGAAGCTAAGCTTACTGTTAACATGGCAAATGTGAATTTGGTAAAGCCACTATTGATTACCTGGGAAAAGTAATTGGTCTTGGGGAAATGCGCTCAGTTGCTGCTGTGATGACAGCAATTCTTGATATTTTTTCTCCTCCAAAGAACTTTAAGCAATTATGTCACTTTTTAGGTATGGTAGGTTACTACCGTTCATTTTGCAAGAACTTTGCTATGGTATTTTCTCTGTTAACTGACCTCCTAAGTCCAAGTGCATGAAATAGTTTTTGGGAAAAGGTGTTTAAATGGTATGTTTTTTGGTGATTAAAAAACTTTTGGGGGATAAAGATGTTTATTTTATTATTTTTATTTTTGCTATTTTGTTATTTTTAATTTTGTCCTCTAGAGTTTTTTTTGCTGTTTTTGTTTTCATTAAGAAGATTTCTTTACACCTGTTGACCGCCGGCGTTATAAGAGCGCATGCTGCTGCACCTCAGGGAATTTGAACGGCCGTCCAGACAGAGTTGTGCTCCATTCTGTATTTAGCCATAGTTTTTTGGGGTTTCCCCTCTCACTTTGTTTACTTTTGGTTGTTCTGTTAATAAAACCCCTAGACCGATCTATTTGTGCTTTCCCTCATTTTATGTTATGACTGTGGTTGTAACAGTGAAGAACAGGTAATAATGTAAAGTACATTTTCCACTGTTTTTTTTTCCAAATTAGTTTGTTGGATGGAATATTTTAATGGATGTTCTTCATGGAAACATCCACAGTAAAAAACAAAAACAAAAAAACAACAACTTTATTTTAAGTGTGTAGCTTCACTCTTTTGTGCTTGCGTCTCAGAGCACTCCATTAATTAACATAGTCACTATGTATTTGAATGAATATTCAGTAATAAATATGCTTGTCGTTTCAGTGTCTGATTTCAATGAAGAGCTAAGGATTGTGCTGCTGGGCTCTGAGGCAGCTGTTAAAGCCTCCTGTGGAAACACCATATTTGGTCGACAGGTGTTTTCAGAGTCGCCGCCTTCACCGCATTTATTCGAGAGGCATGATGGGATGGTTTTAAATAGACGTTTGGTGATCATCAACACTCCTGATCTGTTCAGTCCTGCTGTCTCTCCTGAAGAACACGACTTAAGAAGGTTCTTTCATCTGTCCTGCCCTGAACCTCATGCCCTCTTACTGGTCCTAAAATCTGGCACAGTTACACAGCAGGACAGAGCTGCTCTTCAAGTAATTACCACTGTTTTCGGCACAGGAGCATTTGATTATGTGATTGTGGTCTTCATGCTTGAGGAGCAGATGGAGTATGTGAGCATTACAGACACTGACAGCAGATCAGTGAAGTCTTTACTGCAGATCTCCAAATGTCCACAGCATCATCTCCAGAGGAATGGAGACCAGTCTCATGTGCAGATCCTTTTGAAGATCATCGAGAAGATGGTGGGGAAAAACAAAAGCCATCAGCTCAAGATTAGTCAGGAGCCAAGGCCTGGTCTGACAGAAACAGAGACAGTCTGTGAAACAACACTTAACACACATAAAGGTAAACCTTTACTATCAGTGCATTTGATATTTGTATAGAGGAATTATCAGAGTCCTCCTTTGTACATGACAACCCTCTGAACTAGATACAAGCCAGATACAAGATTAAGAAGTGACCTCATTATAAAAAGAAACAGACAGGCTAATATAAACGTAGATGCTGCAGCTTTTATGGATTAATTTTGGCAAGTGTTCCGGATTGAACCCATGCTTAGTATATATGGGAAGTTAAAACCCTTAATAATGCACTCTACAATGCTGATAAAACCAGGCTAATGAGATCATATTTCTTAGTTCTGGTTAGCACTCTTGTGGATTCATTTAAAACCAGTTGAAGTTAGTTTTTTAGGACTTGAGGACATCAACCTAAAATTACAATAATCTAGCTGTTAAATTATACAGTAATGAATGAGTTTTCTGCATTAGATATTGTTAGCATGTGTCATAGTTTGTCAACATTTTAAAGAGTAAAACAGTTTTACAGATGCTTGATGTGGCCTTTAAATGACAGGTTGCTCATTCTTGATTGACAAGAAAGACATCACAGAACATTAATTAAGGGTTAGGCAGTATTCTAGATTTTTGCATGAGAGGCTTTTGTGGTATAATAACAAAACATCAGTTTAGTAAATTTAGAGACAACAAGTTTACTAGTCATCCAATTGTTAATATCAACTAGGGGATGCACCAATATTTATACTGGGCTCTTGTGGTCATGAAAACACACCAATACCAAAAACTGATACCCTATGTGGATTTCCCAAGTGGAAAACCTATGCAATCGCCTGTAGTTGTCCGTGTATTTCCATTAGAAAAAATAAATAAATAAGAGAAAGTATAAAAAAGGAGTACTTTTAACAATAAAACATAACTATTAGAACCAAAATGGTTTGAAAATTGTCTGTACTTTGACGATCTTGTTTTAAGCAGAGAAAAAGTTCGAGTTACAGTGTTTTATAATTATAAAGAAGCTGTACTACAATAAATGATCTCATGTAGTCATTACCTGAAAATCTGCCACATCCTCAAAAAGCTATTAGGGATTACAAGAAATAAATGTATCTGTACTTGAACACAATCTTTAAAATAATTATTTTTAAATTTGTATCAGTGCTTTAATAATACCAAATATTTGTTCTGTGAGTTTTGCAAAATTAGAAATAAGGCACAAACTATGAGCCTGTAATGAGAAGGGATTAAGACCTGATCTTTTTGATACCTTGTAGCATACATGATCAACATGTCTCTTTTTTTAACTTATACAAATTCCAATAGATAAGATTTGAACAAAGTCATAGTTTTAAAAATGGAAACATAATTTTCAAACCTACTAAGGAGATTGTAATGATCATGACTGCCAAATGCAGCACTGAGGTCAAACAACAGAGAAAATCTATAATTTACACATTCTTATTTCTTACATTTTAAAGTTTCTGATTGTATTGATTCTTGAGGACATTTGTGTTTGTGAATCACATCCATTATAGGGACAAAGAAGGAGTGTGTGAGGATCGTCCTGATTGGAAAAACTGGAGTAGGAAAGAGTGCAACTGGAAACACAATCCTAGGATGCAGATCATTCGAGTCTCGGGCCAGCATGACCTGTATAACCAAGGTGTGTCAGAGAGAGAGTGGAATTGCCTGTGGTCGAGCTGTGACAGTGGTGGACACACCAGGACTCTTTGACACCAGCCTCAGTAATGAAGTGATCCAGCAGGAGATCATGAGGTGTATTGAGCTCTCGGCTCCAGGACCACATGTGTTTCTGCTGCTCATCTCTATCGGCCCGTTCACACGAGAGGAGAGAGAAACCCTTGAACTCATTAAGATTACCTTTGGACAGAACGCCCAGAGCTACACCATGGTGCTCTTCACCAAAGGAGACAATCTGGATGACACTATTGAAGACTACATTAAAGATGGAGATTCACATGTCAAACAGCTGATCCACGACTGTGGAGGAAGATTTCACGTGTTCAACAATAAACAGAAGGACCCTGCTCAGGTCGTAGGTCTGCTGAAGAAGATCGATAAGATGATGTGTGATAATAATAGCAGTTTCTACAATAATCAAATGTTTCCAGAAGCAGAGAAAGCATTGAGACTTGTGCACATTAACAGAGAGAAAGAGGAGGAGGTCAGACGAGAGATAGAGGCCCTTAAAGCCAAACATGAGTCTGAAATCAAACAATACAAAGAGAAACTGGAGATAGAAAAAGCAGAACTGAAGGTTAGAGATCTTCTGGTCATGGAGACTGAAAATGTACTAAGAAAATATCAGATGAGACAAAGAAAAGGCGGTGCAGCGACAACAGTCTTCGGACAGACACAAGATCAATGTGAACCCACAGCACGTGCTGAGAGAAAGAATGATGATCAGATTGAAAAGCAGGAAAATCAGCTTTCAGCAACAACACATCTGGAAAGAGAGATGCCAGAACATGGAAGGGAATCTGACAAGGAGCACAAGAAACAAAAGAGATGGAAGGGTTTTGATTCATTACACAAAGGTAAAAAGGAAAGGATAAAGCTTGAAAAAAAGGTAGAAGAATGCCATATAACAGAAATGTCAAGTGGCAAAGTGAACGCAGAAAAGTTAAAACAGACATTGACCAATCAACAGATGATTTCAAATGAAAATGTAGCTAAAAAGTCAGACGGTGAGAAAGATGCAGAGCAAGAACGTCTGCTTCAACATTATAAAGAGATGGAAGATTCCAGGCAGAAGATGGAGGAGGCCATGAGAAAGTACAAAGACACAGCTGATATGTATGCTGCAGAACTTAAAAGGCTGGAAGCCAGAAATGCAATTAACATCGACAACTGGGAGAAGAGCCATGGGAAATCCTGTGTGCTTCAATAACAGATAAGGGCCGAGTAGTTAAATGAATGTTTTGATTCTTGATATTTAAAAAAAAAAAAATAAATGCATATATGAATTACCAAGTTTTGGCCTGGCCTCCCTTAGTGTCATGATCACCAGTGATCTTCATAAAGATGGGGCCTTTGGAAATGCATGTCTCAGAGAACAGAATCCCGTGACTCAACTGTGGTTATCTGCAGTACTCAGGGAAATTCTCTGACTCAGTAAATACATTACCATTAGGGGGCAGCTGAGCTTCATTCTCAGTAGTGGGCAGTTCTGAAGGTGGACTCGATGCTGTGGGTGGCTGTTTTTTCTGTGGAAGCTGGAGGTGCTTTCTACATGTTTTGTTTATATTTGCTAAAATCTAATACAATGCTGCACCTGGAATAATTGTTTTATTGTTTTCTGATAAGAGAAATTGTTTCATTTTAGACACAGTAATGCAGACACGCTACAGCCATGGTGATAATATTACATTTGGCCATACAAAACTTTTCACAGAGCTCAGTTAAATGCTTTTTGTATTAGGCTAGTTATCAATAAACCGGTAAAGCCAAAACTAATGGTAAAGTACAAGTTGTAATTTACTATTGTTTACATCAGAGGTCTCAAACTCAATTTACCTGGAGTCCACTAGAGGCTGATCTGGGTGAGGCTGGGCTGCATCAGGTTTTCCACAAGAAATTAATTATATTATTATTCATTTTTTATTTGTTTATTTTTTCCACCTTATTTTGTGTAAAATTTGAGAAGACTGGAAATTTTTAAACAAAATAAAAAATAAATAAATAAATGACTAGACAACTATATTAGGCTGCATTGAGTTTCCTACTTTTCTTAAATCCCAATCTGTGGCTGATTTAACTCTTTCTGATTTGTCTCTGCATCAGGATAGCAGGATACAGCAGTTTCATCTTCTCGAGATCTCTTTTGATCAGCCTCATTATCAGATTTAAGCACACTGGGACGAATGACCACGTGTGCCCAATAGAAATGAGGCAGTCAGCCAGGCACGGAAGAAAACACACCATGGCAACGCTGCTGTAACTTTCACAAATGTTTCTCTGCCTCTATCAAGCCCAGCCAATGTCCCGCTCCCGAGAGCCATATGCCCCACTGTGATTGGTGGGTTTGTTCAGCTCCGCACAAAACACTGTAAAGTTCCATACAAATCAAATTTGTGGGCCGCACTGACATTAAACTTTCACATTAAAGTGGGGGCCACAAACTATGCCCGTGGGCATGAATAAATAAATTTATTAGCCTATATATACTGTAGTTAGGGCTGCCACCTGTGCCTTGAAATACGGAATCGTCCTGTATTTAAGAAAGAAATTGCATGTTCCGTTTTGAATCAATACGGGATGGGTTTTGTCCCGTATTTATTATTTTTTTTAAAGCTTTTCATGCAAATCAACCCTCACGCATTTTATGAAGATGCCTTCTTTCCTACTTTTGATTGGGTAATACTTGACGTCATTGTTAGTTTGATTGGTCTTTGTCCAATGAGGAGGGTGGGTGTTTTAAGCGGAGTCAGTCAAGTCTTGACAGAGAGTAATGGCAGATGCTTTTCCAGATAACCCACCGCGTCTGAAAGTTTCAGAGTTTAAATGCAAGCGACTGCAATAGTATTGCAGAGTGGGAGGAAACAGATACCTGGCTGCAAAGTGTTAGAAATTGTTATCAAGCCAACTGCACGATTTGTCGGAGATCGTTCTCTTTAAATCAGTCTGTGAATATCAAGCTGGAGTATATATATATATATATATATATATATATATATATATATATATATATATATATATATATTGTTTATGTATGTGCTGTTTCCATTTTTGGATAGGTGTTACTGCAAATTATGACAAATATTTAAGCCAAAATCTGTTATCAATTCATTAGTGTGTTCTCCTCTCCTCTAGGTTACAGCAGCTGAGTTAACTCAGGTGTACCACACTATTAAGCATAAGATCAGCTATATCAGTGCTGCAGAGCTGTAAAAGAGAAAGACTGACTGCATCTGCTTACGCAGATTTCAATAAAAGAGTTTATTTTAATGTTCAAGTTTTCATATTTTCCTGAAAACTTATTTTAAGTTGCAATTTATTACCACTGGCATGCTATTGGGCCTGTGCATGGGAATGTGGCCACTGCTTTACTATGTGTCCCTTATTTTTGTATTAAAAAGGGTAACCTTAGCTGTAGGCTAAATAAATATATTTTTAAATTAAATAAATAGGCTATATTTTCCAAAAATTACCATTTTTTGCCATTTTGATTCTATCGAATTAAACATAAATAAGTATATTCCGTCTATTTGAAGAAGAAGTCAATCATGCACTTAAGGAAAAGGCTATAGCCTAACTTAACACTTAAATAGACTATTAATAATGGATATAAATGAAGGATTAATAAAAAAAAATGTGAAAGCAGAAAAAAATATTGTGGGAGTGGTGTTTTAAAGTGTGCTGTCTCAAATGACTAACGATTGTGCGTTACCATAACACTTGAACTGGTTTCAGTTCAATTTTCGTTTTTTTTTTATTTAAAAAATCTATTTATTAAACTTGTTTGTTAATTAAATTTAAATGTACATGGTGTGTTTGTGCATGAAATATGCGTGTTTAGATGCATGTGTGTGAGAAACCGGCTGAAAGAGCGCTTGACAGCTCTGTTAATGCCGCAAGCGGCTGGGTTTCTTTATTTATTTATTTTGGAGATAACACAAAATATTAATACAACAGAAAGACATAAAACTTTACAAATTACGTGTCAACTTTTACTCACAATAGTGTCATATTACTGTAGATCTAGATTAAAAAAAGCCTAAGCTATATTAAATTCATGTAAAGAATTACAAATTAATGTTTGTTTTAATATTACGTGGTAAAATAAAAAAAAATAATAATAACAAAATAAAATTTAATAAATACAAAAAATTTCAAATGTAGAACTGTATTATAAGCATATTTCATACTTTAAATTGTAGTTTGTTTGCTTTGGGTAGAATTAGTGGAGATATGCCTTTTGTGGTGAGACCACACGTTGTACAATGCTAACAATGGATCGGCTATTAAAATGAATTTAATGAATGAAAATAAATAGGCCTATGCATATACACATAGGCCTATGTAATGCTGTACAGTAACATGTAATCTGTTTGCTCAGTTGTCTCCATTTTATTCATTTCATGATGGGATGAGGTGTAGGCTTGCACTTGACATTGGTGGGGACAGGTGAATACATATATCTATTGCTATTAATTATTTAACTTCTATTAAAAGGCCTGCAGCCTGACTGAAGAAAGTTTAATGTACTGGCCAGTTTATTATGTGCCTAGGCTTCAGTTTTATTTGCTTATTATTTAATTTTTTTTTTAAGTGGCTGAACTATCATAGTATGATACACTGTTTTGCAAATGAACCAGTGTTTCCCAAAACTGTAGTTTCTAAATCATATAAATTGTTTATGGTTGTAATTTACAGTAGGTTATTTATTAATAAAAGTAATAATAATAATAATAATAATAATAATAATATTGTCATCATCATCATCACTATTTTATTATTAAGTACCCAATAAACACACAAGGTTGTGCTTAGGCGGCATGGACGACCACTCTAAAGTATTTATTTAGTGCTGAGGTGATTTTATTTTTGCCTGTACAACACACACAATCAGGCAGTTACCCGCTCAATGTCAGTTGAGTCTCTCTTTTGCCTCTCCTCTTAACAGACATCGGGAAAGAGAGAAAAACAAACTCTCCATATACACACTTACTACGACACATTTACTTACACAATATGTATATATCACATACTAATATAAAATAATATTAATAATAATAACAATATGAATATAAATAACTCTTATATAAAAATATACTAATAATTATTCACATTTACAGGATTAGTCTCAATTTACATACCTGTACAACACACACAATCAGGCAGTTACCCTCTCAATGTCAGTTAAGTCTCTCTTTTGCCTGTTAACCACAAGATATCTTTGAAATAAACAGGTATTTACCTATAAAACACACTGCTGTAATGTCTATTCTATTATTAAATCACATTGCATTTTTAGTGTGCTTACAAAATATATATATATTCAAACTTATATACTTAATTATACATATTTAACCATTTATATACATCTACATACATCTATATATTATTTATTATTGCATATCTATCTATTTATCAAAGTAGATCTATCTAATATTAAGGTATTTAATCAAAACTGTAGCTGCGATGGCGCTAATACCTCTCTCACTCGCGACGCACACGCATGGGCCGCCATTTCACGCTATATAACTTTCGCCCATTAACAGCACTCAAATATTATGCTGATACCATGCAGGATGATTTTGACCGACAAGAACTCTGGCAAATCCTGTATAAATACAAGGATGCCTTGCTAAAGACTCTTTAGTCTGCGGTCTAACTGACCTCCACATGTTGCGGCTTCCTACACCTCCGAATGCATCCCCCATGTTCGTTAAGCAGGACAAAATTCCCATCGCTTCACACTAACCTTATGCTCTAACTTTATTAGAGGTACGGGGGGAAGCAATTACCTGGGAGCAGGAGGGGATGCCAGAGGGTGCGAGAAGTAGGAATCAGTCAGTTCCAATGGAGTATAGCATTCAGTACGGGGAGCAAGGGAGTTCTCAGTCAGAGCTGAGGGATCTGCGAGAGATGTTAAAGTCACAACAACAACAGTTAGATCAACTTACTCGGAGTGTTACAGGTATGCGACTTCCTCAGCGGGGTCATCGCCCCTCCCGCCCAGAGTCATGCCCCTTTGTCCAGTTGCTCCAAAACTGTCTCAGCTCCAAGAAATATCTTCTTTTAAGATTGTTTTCTTTTCTGGAAGCCGTATGCTGTCTTTTGGACAAGTTACTTTTCTTTCCAAACTTAAGTGCCCATTATGCACACGCAGGTTGTCTCCTTTATTGTCTTCACTGTGCGTGATCTGTGTGTCTCACGGCTGCTTCTCAGCCCTGAGTGGCCTCTTTGATCATGTGATCTCCGTGTGCAACAAAGGCACGG